TAAGTATCACTATCCTAAATAACTAATGTGTGAAGTACTAGTAAATATTGTATAATATCAATGCAAGAAAAGAAAATCTAATTTGATGTATACTTGTGCAACACATATCAACATTATGACTCAAATATATACAGAATGTTTGTGCAAATTGTTCAGTATTCATGATGATCCTAGGAGCTAGAATGTTCCTCACAAGAAGGCATTCCTAGTCTAAAGTAAAGTCGGGCTAGACATACTCGAAGCTGCCACCAATGACACGCATTAAATTGACTTCCTGGGCCCATAATAGTTATGGATATATAACGACCATCCGGAGGCAAGTTATGGTTCAGGTCTGGCCATTCCTTCCTCAGGAATTCCCACTAATATGCATATGCAATTGCTTACAATGTTGCAACCACATGTGTGTGCATATGCATATATGTGTGTGTGTGTGTGTGTGTGTGTGTGTGTGTGTGTGTGTGTGTGTGTGTGTGTGTGTGTGTGTGTGTGTGTGTGTGTGTGTGTGTGTGTGTGTGTGTGCATGAGCGTGTGCGTGTGTGTACTGCACGTCTGTGTGTGTATTATACATGCATGCATACTTACATACATATATACATGTATATATGTACATAGATATATGTATACATATTTATATAAATACATACATGTACACGCATATATATATATATATATATATATATATATATATATATATATATAAATGCATATATATACATATATGTATGTATATATATATATATATATATATATATATATATATATATATATATATGTATGTATGTATGTATATATATATATGTGTGTGTGTGTGTATGTCTGTGTGTGTGTGTATTTATTACTCACATTAAGTCCTCAACTGTTGTTCCCATAACCAAATCCAAACCCGCAGCGTTTTCCCATTACGCCCAATGTAGCGTGAATATCAAAAGGGCACAACAATAACCCACCTCTCCCCCTCCCCCTCTCTATGGCGCCCTATGGTGGCAGCGTCAATGAGTGCAATGAACTACAAGTCGGGGTCACGTGGTGTTTCAACCTACCTGCAGTACCCCTGTTGCAAACCCCCCCTTTGAATTGGCGTCTACACATGTCTAATCTGCAACGAGAAAGTCAACAAGTTCATCTCAATCTGCAAGGAAAAGTCAGAGGTTCATTTGGGAATCTTTTCCATCCGTGGTGGCGGTGGCCGATCGTCTTTTGTTATTTTTTAAAAAGTTTTCAGACGATGACGTCAGAGGGATTGTGGTGACGTCATAGCAGCTGCAGTGACGTCACGGTCACACCTGTTGGGCTGTTAGGGAAGAAATGATATTGGGTATTTTGTAAAGGTTTTACTTGGCAGGCTTATCCACGCCAGAGGGGACGTGGAAGCTACTGGTTAGGGGATTAAGGATCTATTAAAGTAAACAAAACAACTCATGAATAAATAAAAGAAAATCCACTCCCGTAAAAAAGCTTAAGTGAGTAGCTCCCAAGTTCCTTCTCTTGTGTGTACATGAACTGAGCCCAGAGTGCCCGAAACCTGGGATGTGCGTCAGACAATCCTCCACTCCAGATCTCCGCGTCCAATCCCTTGCAGCGTTGCAGTGAGTCTGGCGTCAAGTTAGTCGTCTGGAATAATGGCAGACTTACCTCCAAGCGTCAGAGAAAGAAAACCGGGCAAAGCGCACGTGTTTTCAGGGGTGACTCTAGTAAATCTACGGACTGAACTCTATCTACAACCAAAACAACTCCCTGAAATTGGACCCTCCACCGTATGGACGTGTATTGGCATACATGTGGTGGGATTATTAAGGGGGGATGTGTATGCACATATATGTGTATGTGTATGTGCACATGAAGGATGTACGTCCCCATTCGTGCAACGTACCGGCCGTGCCTGTTGTACACCTCCCACTCTTTCGTCGGCGACACAGATCGTACCTGGATTGGGATGTCGTGAGGTACAAAGGTTTAGTGAAGGGTTAAATATAAGGTTCATCTTCCCCACAAAACGACAGTGCTTCCTGATCATTCCTAAATACGCTGCACTTATGTACATATCATTAAACTTAAACAACTATATTCTAATGTAAGTACAAATGAGTTAATCCAACAGGGTAAAATATCTTAGTCTATTGGGTGATTACATTCATTTTCTCAGATCTGCTACCACGTGAATACAGAAATGCTATAAGTAAATGAAGTTATTGTCAATAGGCTACACAATATTGACAGGATTATGATAAACATCAGCCTCTAACTGAGTGAAAGAGACCCTAAGTCCCTACGGAGAAATCCTTCTTCCGCAAGCATTAGAGTCCCATCGCCGCTGGGCAGAGCGAGGGGCCGAAAACGAGGGAGGGCAAACATACACGCTTCAAACGGAATCGAACCCTCTCGAGACAATTCCGAGAGAGGATCCAAACCGCTGGGACAGCAATCCTGGACAAATTCAAAGATCCGGACATCCAGGATAGGTTTCGGAAGGCCCAGGGCTGCACAGGGCATTCTTTGGTCTACCTTAATCCACCTTGCGTCCTGCTTTCGCGTGAAACAACACACCTTGAAGGAGTATTATAAATCATAGGTGTATCTATTTGCCCTTAAGTTTCTCTTTTACTTTAATTGTCCTCCTTTCCCCCCTTCGTTGCGGCTTCGAACTTCGGCGTCACGAATCCCGGGTCTCGAAGATTCGCGAGCGGGCCTCGAAGCTCGAACCTCAAGCGAAAGCGGGAGGTGCGAGAAAAAAAAAACTGATAAGAGTGCGAATAACAGGAGATATCGGAAACGGGTCTGTTTAACGGCTTGACCTCCGTCTTGACCCGGTTCTCTCTTACGACCCTCGCTGCCCAGCTCATCTGCCTTGACGAGGCTGAGAGAAAGAGGGATTAGACGTGCCACATCTATTAGTCACTGGGAGAGGAAGCTCATTTATCAAGGGACTCCATTCATCAATGAAATCTATTTTGCAGAGGAATGATGCTTTTAACTTCTCTGTTCTTCAGTTATTGGCATTTCACTGATCTTGAGAAAACGAATTTCTTTTTATCTACGAAGCTATTTTGAAGTTATATATTAAGGGTAATTCCTGAAATTTGATCATAATAATGAAACTTAATTGTAAGACAATTAGCAAGAAATTTGAAACAGAACTTAAATTCTAGGAAGAAAAAAGAAAAAAGTCAGCGAAAGGAGAAAATAGATAGGTAAACAGACGGATATCTCTATATATAAATATGTATATTCATATATTCATATATATAAACATGTGTTTGTTTATATATATATATATATATATATATATATATATATATATATATACAAACATATTTTTAGAGAGAGAGGAAGAAAGAGAGAGAAAGAGAGAGAGAGAGAGAGAGAGAGAGAGAGAGAGAGAGAGAGAGAATCAAGAATCAAGCAAATAATTACATAAAATCACACAACCAACCCTAACACCTAAACACCTAGTAAACAACACTTAATCCAACGACTCTATAGCATTACGCACTTGGTGATGGCGACGGCTATATCGTAGGTGGGAAGACGTCGCTCCTGGTACAGGTACTTCCCCATGTCGGTGAGGGCGCTGGCGGAGTCGATCGCGTCCCTCCCCACGCGGTTCCTCTCCAGGTAGGGCATGGCGTCGCGGCTCTGGGGGAGGGGAGCGAGTGAGGGCGGGGGTGAGGGGGAAGGGGAGCGAGTGAGGGCGGGGGTAGGGGTAGGGGGAGGGGGAGCGAGTGAGGGCGGGGGTGAGGGGGAGGGGGAGCGAGTGAGGGCGGGGAAGGGGGGAGAGGGGGAGCGAGTGAGGGCGGGGGTGAGGGGGAGGGGGAGCGAGTGAGGGCGGGGTAGGGGGGAGAGGGGGAGCGAGTGAGGGCGGGGGTGGGGGGGAGGGCCATAACAAATAGGGAGAATGATAAAGGTGATGTTGGTGATGATGATAAAGATAAGGATGATGAGGATGAGGCGTAATAATGTTGGTAATGATGTTGATGCAGTTGATAACTATAATAATATTAATCCTAATAGTGATGATAATATTATTGGTAATGATAACAACAGTGCCCGTATTAATGATGATGATGATAATGATAATACAACAGCAACAGTTATGATCATTATAATGATGATGATAATAATAATTAGAAAAAATAAATAAAATTAAAAATTAAAATAATAATAATAGTAACAGTACTAACAAAAATAACAGCAATAGTATTAATAATAATAATATAACAATAATTATTACAATAATGGAAAAGAATCAACAATTAATACAATGACAATCATGCTAGAGTAAACAAATAAACAAGAAAACAAACAAACGGAACTCACTCTCGAAATAATTATGCCGGCGATGGACACTTTGACTCGCGGTCCCTTGAGCAGCTTGTAACGCAGGTCGACTCCATTCCAGAAGGACACATAATAGCTCTTGATTTGGCTGTTGTCCTGCCCGTGTAGACTGGAAAGGAAGGGCAATTAGTGTCATCAAATTGAGAAAATATAATAAACACCTTTATTAATTTGGTTATGTTCTTCCAGTTTGAATTAAGTTATTGGTTGGTTTTATCATTAGGAGAAATTCCTTTAATTTTCTATCAAAACTTTTACTTAGAGAGTAAAAAAATGAAAACATTTTGAAAAACTAGATCAATATATCAAAGGAATAGCATTTCTAAGGAACGAAAAATACCAAAATACCAAAATAAACAGTCTTATATCAACGCTCCCTCTTAAACCTAACCCAAGACCTTACGACCTTTAAATACACCTCAGGAAGCCAGAAATGACTCACAGGTAACCATCATAGTCGACCAGGACGAGGATCTCGGGGTAAATGATATAAGGGGCGCTGCGCTTACGGCGAGGGCGGGCGTCTGCGCTGCGGGCGGGAATGTGGTCCAACTCCATCATGGCTGCCGGGGAAGAAGGACAGGGAGCGTGAGTGTAATGCTGGAGGTTTAAAAAGTTTGGTTTTTATTTCATTAGTTGATTTGAGGATTTTGTTTTCTTTTTTTTATATCTTTTGGAAGGTTTTGTTGTTGTTGTTTTTCTTAACATTTTTTATATATAGCCTAATGTTGCTGTTACAATTCCACTTTGTCATATTATTTTTATTATACATTTTTTTTCTTATAGGGCATTAGACTTTTTACCTTTTCATTTCATAGACTGGATTGGTGTTCATGTCTTAAGTTTTATAGTGACGCGTCTTCATACGATAATAATAATACGAGTGATGGTTATGATTATTCTAACCTCATTTAATTTTGATTCTCACTCTAAGAAAGAAGAGGGATATTATCTGACTTTTTTATTTCTTTATTATGTACCAGATAAATAAAAATAATAAATGTACCAGAAAATAGACGTTTATTGAATTATGCGATAATGAGTAACTTGGAAAGATAAATATTAAAACGCAGGGAAAATTAATTTCATTAGCAGGATTTTAGTAAAAAGTTGAAAAATAAAGTAATGAAAAAGTTCATGAACATAAAAAGGGTTACAAAAATTAACAGAATAATAAACAAACAAACAAAAAAAAAACATAATAAACGCTAATTGTCTTAAGTGTGAATCAGAAAAACAAACATTGAGTTCTAGGCTTTCTTTGGAATGCTAAACATCTCTGTCCTTTCCTCCTGACTTGCACCCAACCACAAGTGTCTGTATTCGACCTACACCCTTCTGTCTAGCTCTCTCTCTCTCTCTCTCTCTCTCTCTCTCTCTCTCTCTCTCTCTCTCTCTCTCTCTCTCTCTTCATTTCTCTCTCTCTCCATTTCTCTCTCTCTCCATTTCTCTCTCTCTCCATTTCTCTCTCTCTCCATTTCTCTCTCTCTCCATTTCTCTCTCTCTCCATTTCTCTCTCTCTCCATTTCTCTCTCTCTCCATTTCTCTCTCTCTCCATTTCTCTCTCTCTCCATTTCTCTCTCTCTCCATTTCTCTCTCTCTCCATTTCTCTCTCTCTCCATTTCTCTCTCTCCATTTCTCTCTCTCCTCATTTCTCTCTTTCTTCATTTCTCTCTTTCTTCATTTCTCTCTTTCTTCATTTCTCTCTTTCTTCATTTCGCTCTCTCTCCATTTCTCTCTCACTCCCTCCCCTCTGTCAAAACATCCTCTTGCTTCATTTCCTTCTCACATTTCTGTTCTCCCTTCTTCTATTTTTTTCCTAAACCCACGCTTTCTTGCTTCTTCCCTTAAAAGGACTGACTGGTTTTCTCTCTTTTTTTCTCTCTCTCTTTCTTTCTCTTCGTCCATGCTCCTTCAACTTCTCGCCCCAGGGACGCTGTCGGGTACACAGGAAACCGTAGCGTGGAAATACCGGCCCGTACCCTGTCCTGGCGCTGCCCTCCACGCACATACACACATACACACGCATAAAAATGGGTGCAGACTTACATACATGCACACATAATATCGCACGCACAGACATGTAGGGCACACTGTCTGGTTTCCTCTAAGGATCAGACGTAATGAAAGCTTGCCAAATATTTTTTTCAGACAACTGTGCATATGTGTGTGAGTGTGTGTGTGTGTGTGTGTGTACATGTGCATCTCTATCTATATTTCTATATATTTCTATATTTTTATGTAGGTATTATGTGTGTATGTATATGTAAACATATATATACATATACATGTGTATGTATATACATATGTGTGTGTGTGTGTGTGTGTGTGTATGTGTATGTGTATATGTATGTGTATGTGTATGTGTATGTGTATGCGTGAGTGTGAGTGTGTGTGTGAGTGTGTGTGTGTGTGTGTGTGTGTGTGTGTGTGTGTGTGTGTGTGTGTGTGTGTGAGTGTGTGTGTGTGAGTGTGTGTGTGTGTGTGTCTGTGTGTGTGTGTGTGTGTGTGTGTGTGTGTGTGTGTGTGTGTGTGTGTGTGTGTGTGTGTGTGTGCTGATAGAGAGCGGCTTTTAATGGGCGCGTCTCCTCGAGCCATGTGGCGGAGTCTCAGACATTCCCAGAACCTCCTCGAAGTACCTCGGTCGTCCTTCGTTTATGGCTGCGCGTCTTGCAATCTGGCAGCAACATCGGTATATTGTTAGGTTTATTACTTGGATCCTCTGAACGCACTCTGGGAGTTCTCTCCTCGTCTCTCTTTCTCCAGCTCTTCTTGTATTTTTTTCTCTCTCTTTCTTAATTAATCCTTTTCTCTTTTTTTCTCTCTCTCCGTTTCTGTCTCTCTCGTATCCTCTCTCTCTCTTTCTCTCTCTTTCTCTCTCTCTCTCTCTCTCTCTCTCTCTCTCTCTCTCTCTCTCTCTCTCTCTTTATCTATCAATCTATTTTTTCTTTCATTACCTATTTTTGTTTTCTTATTTTCCTTCATTCTGTTCCCTCTGTCTCATTTTCTCTTCACATTTCATTTCGTTTTCTTTCCGTTTCTGTGTCTGTGTAATCATGTGAGTGAGTGACTCAGTCAGTCAGCCAATCAGCACTAAGTCAGTCAGTCAATAAGCGAGTGAGTGTGTGTGCACATGTGTACGTACCTTTGTGTCGGCATGTGTGTGTATGAGCGGGCTGGAGGGCAAGAGTTCAGGAGGGTATCATGACAACATCACACCATCTCAAGTTACTTGCATTTTATGTCTTTATACAATCCTATTTTTGAAGAGCGTTATTTCCTACTTTTTTTTTAGTTCTTTGACGTTTTGCTTTGTTTTGTGTGTTCTTCGTCGTTGTTGCTGTGTTGTATGTTCTTCAAACATCCCTTGGTAAGGATATTTATATATTTATTTATTTATTCATCTACGCATTATCTATCTCTGTCTATCAGTTCACTTATATGTTTATCGAAATATTGCTATACCGTTTAGGTACGGGAGACACTATTTTTGTTCCTGTAGTTCATTTCTCAACCTCTATGGTCTTGTAGCAACTTCAGGAGACATCTTGTTCACATCTTGTTCTATTGTTATATTTCTTGTCCCTTCCTTTTCTTCTCTGCTCTCCTTAATCCCTTTTAATCCCCAAGTCCTATTTCTCCTTCCAATTCCAGAAGCCAATAAACAATCTTCTTTCTCTCTCTGAACCCTTTCAACCAATAGCAAGGCATCTTTCTCTCAGCTGGTTGTGTTTAGCCAATGGTAAGTCCTCTTTCTCTCCGGCCTTACTTGGTAGCCAATGACAGGTCACCTTTCGAGCTACCGTATCTCCGTAGCCAATGAGAGGCCTTCTTCTTTCGTCGCCGCGTCTTAGAGCCATCTTTCTATTATTTGGAAAAAGATACGATGACCCTTTATCTTTATTTTTCATATTTGAAGCGAAGATTATTATCCTTATTATCATTTCACTTATACACGTGCCTCGATTAGGATTTATTCTTTATTTTCAATAATCCTTTTCATCTCTTTCTCTCAGCGAATAGAAAGAGAGCCTTCTCCTCCATGCCCCTCAGCAGCCAATGAAATTCCGCTAAACTTCCACCGGTATGACTCATCGTCCAATTAGAATTCAAGTTTTTTTTCCCTAGAAGTTATAGCTCGGGATAAAGACAACGATTATTCCCCTTTCATATTCTTTTGAAAAGTCATTTAAATCCCCTGTAGATTCCGCTTAATTTATTCTCTCTCCTTTATTTCTCTCTCTCTCTCTCTTTCTCTCTCTCTCTCTCTCTCTCTTTCTTCTTCTTCTTCTCTATTCTCTTCTCTCTCTTCTCTCTTCTCCTTCTCTCTTCTCTCTTCTCTCTCTCTCTCTCTCTCTTCTCTCTCATCTCTCTCTTTCTCTCTCATCTCTCTCTTACTTACTCTCTCAATCTCTCTCTCTCTCTCTCTCTCTCTCTCTCTCTCTCCTTCATCGACCAATTATAAAACCGACTTCTTTTCTGCCTCTCCCTTAATTCTCTTTCTCCTTAATCTATCCTGACTGGACCGACTCGTTCCATCCTTTCGCAACGTTGCTCCCTTCCCCCCCTCTCCCTCCCCCCCTCGTCTGATCTTTATGCAACACTGCCACCTCCCCCCCTCCCTCCCCTCCCCTTCTCCTTTCTACCCTCCCTCCCACTCCCTACCCCCCTTTCCTTCCCCTTCCCCTCTCTCCTTCCTTCTTTTTCCTGTGTATATTCTCCCATGTCTTTGCAATGGTTCCTTTTTTTCGTTTATTCTCCTTTGCTCTTAATCTTTCTTACATTGCCTATCTCTCTCTCTCTCTCTCTCTCTCTCTCTCTCTCTCTCTCTCTCTCTCTCTCTCTCTCTCTCTCTCTCTCTCTCTCTCTCCTCTCTCTCTCTCTCTAATTCTTCTCCATCCCCCTTCCTCCCCACTCTCTTCGTCCCTTTGCACTCCGTTCTTCCCCACGCCCTCCGCTTCCCTCCAGTTCCCTCCACCCCCCCCCTTTCCCCCATCTAACCCCCCACCCCACCCCACCCCCGCCAGGTGAGTCTTGCGGCCAACTTTCACATGGTGGCGGGGTAACCTTTCCCCAGTCCCGTCTGGTAGGTGTCTGGCCTTCCCCAGCCGCGGGCGCCGTGGGTTCTGCTCCTCTCTCTCTCTCTCTCTCTCTCTCTCTCTCTCTCTCTCTCTCTCTCTCTCTCTCTCTCTCTCTCTCTCTCTCTCTCTCTCTCTCTTTCTCTCTTTCTCTCTTTCTCTCTTTCTCTCTTTCGTTCTCGTTCTCGTTCTCGTTCTCGTTCTTGTGCTCTCTCTCTCTCTCTCTCTCTCTCTCTCTCTCTCTCTCTCTCTCTCTCTCTCTCTCTCTCTCTCTCTCTCTCTCTCTCTCTCTCTCTCTTTCTCTTTCTCCGTTTACTGTTTTCTTTCTCAAACCCCTTCTCTTCCTCCTCGCATTCTCCTCCCTTTCTCTTCTCCTTTTTTCCCATCCCCATGCCTATTATTTGGCCCCGCTACCCCACCCCCCCTTCAGTAGCTACTCTGCAGGTGCTTAGATTATTGTCTCTATTCATCATTTTTCTCATATT